ACCAGAATGGCCAGGGTATTGCAAATGCATGGGCATCCCTGACAGTGGCAACCATGGACAGGAATCTTGACACTTGAAAAACACAGAAGTATACTCTGCTACTCATGAACTGGCAGCCAGGGCAGCTGGGGATGGGAACTGCAAAGTGTGGAAAAGCAGAGTGTGCTCTGGGGAGGGGAAGCAGCTTGGTCCAGGTATTGCTGGTGATATCCATTTGCTGGAAGGGTCACCCACAGGTGGCATGCTTACCTCGCTGGGCCTCACTGTCACCTTGGGATCCTAAAATTCCCCTGTTCTGTCCTGGGAGCCATGTGCTCAGGTTTAACCACAATGAGACTAAGCTGTAATTTCTAGGTGGTGATATCTGGTAGACAGATGGAGGTGCCAGGCTAGAGCTTGGCGGTGGGCAGGAGGTTAGGATTTGAGGTACAGGTAGTGTACTCTGTACTGGGCGTCTCATTGGTTCTCATGCTATTTTAGTGAGTATGTTCTCTAAGGTAGCTGTGAATATGCAGTGAGATTACTACCAGAGGGAGTAGGAGGATGTTGTTTTAGTAAATGCACTGGCAGAAAAGTTACCAGGTTACCAGGGAAACTTCAGGATTTAATCTCCTGACCTGGGTTGCCATAGTACCAAAATATGTTAAAAGCCGGTTTGGAGTAGCATTAAGGGGCAGGACAAGATAGAAAGCAGAGGAAGAGTCCAAACTTACCGCTAGAGAGAAGATTAAAGGTAGAATGGGTCTGAGTTCTCTGTTGAAGGAAGACTGCATGGAAGCTGTTGCAACAGCCTGTGACTTGTAACCCCGTGAAGGCATCACTCTGTATTTCGCCCCATTTCCCAGTCCTGAAGATTTGCTTCTCACCTGTGCCACCCAGGGAAGAGGAGCCGGTGTGGGGAAGGAAAGAGCAGCACGTTCCTCCTCTTTTGCTCAATGCGGGAGGAGGACTGAAGTGAGTTCTAGCTAGGGTTCCTGCAGGGGCTGGGGGGTGGGGAGCTCCTGCTGCCACTGCCACCTCTGCCACCACTGCCCGGGTTCCCGGCTGCCCCAGGGATTCACTGGGCATAGCACATGAGGTTGAGATGCTGAGGCCTAACACCTGATCTCAGAAGCAGATGAGGTCCTGGGCACACTGTGCGATGGGTTTTGGCAGTACAATTGTGAAATCCGTTTACCAAGCGGGCCCTTCTTCTATGAGTGAGTGCCCTCGACGATCAGATGAGCTTTTCTGTACTGAGCTGTGGGCAAGTCTTCTAGGAACCCACCCAGATCAAAATATAAGCCGGCATTAGGGAATAGCAGAAGCTCAGAAGGTGAGGGTAAACCTCTGGACTGTGCATTTGGAGATAGGCCTGTCCCATCGCAGGAGGCAGGTAGATGGACAGGGAAGGTGGGCTTTCCTGGGCGCAGAGTCACACAGGCCAGAGAAGACTCACCTATGCTTTGACGAGGCTCTGGTGGGTTGGGAGAAGGACTTCTTAGGAGCTTGAGGGTGAATTGGGGAGTGAAAGGGCAAGGACCTGCTCCTCATGCCCTTTCTCCTGGGTTTGCTGGCAGGGGAGTGACAGGCTGTTTAAGGCCAAATGTTAGCCACGTACTTGTTGTCTTCCATGCTTGTGGAAGGCCGTTCTAGATGCATAGATGACTTATATCCTTAAAAGTGTGATGGGATTATCTGACCTCTAGGTTCCCCTCAGATATAAACTTAAGTATCCTTCCTATGACTACCCATTTGGTTAGATGTTTCCACCATGAGCCTCCCACAGACATACTCTCTTCATTCATGTTGGTTTCTTTATTGCCAGGCCTTCAAAGGCGTACTATGACAGTAATGTAAATTGACATGGGTGATGCTGGGAAAGCTCTGGGTCAAATTTGGTTTTAGGCATTGTTTGGGGTTTTGTTTTTGCTTTTGTTTTGTTTTCCTGGAATTACCATCCTGCAGCTTTCCTGTTTTCAGATTTTCTGTTCTTCTGTCTGTCACACCTGATTCCCCGAGATTCTCCCCTTGCTGACCCACTGAGCACACACCCTCCGCTTGACTCTGATGGAATGCCGTCTGGGCAGTCCACTGGGATGGGCACATGTCTGAGGCAGGACAAAGAGGGCTTCCCTTTAGTTTCTGAATCTTCTCCCTTTGATGGTCTTCTTCAGGGACTTGATGTTCCAAAAACAAGACAAAAACCACCCAAAACCTTAGACTTGTGTATTTAGACATACACGTGTGCTTTATCAGGTTCCCAGCCAAGTCACTACCTGGCTGCTTCCTTCTCTGAGCCACAGCAGCAGGAGGCCTGGCATTTTTAAGCAGAATGAATTGCTGTCTAGTGGCTGCTCTTCTGCACCCGGGGCCATCAATCTTGTCTTGAATGTTGGGCCTGCTGGTATGCCTGCGCAGGCTCATCTTTCTGGGGCAGACTTATTTACGGAGCCATGGCAAAGGTAATCTCACTCCCCACCCCACCCCCAACCCCTGGCCCTGTGGCCCAGCCTCTCTCAGCCACTCTTAAAAATAGCCCAAGACAAGGAGAGCCAGGGTCCAGTTACCTCCTGCAAGCGGGATCTGCTCTTACCTCACCTCCTGCGTCTGGCAGCTCAGGCCTTCTCAGGGGCTACTGGACAGGCCTGCAGCCCAGCACGAGGTTGGTCAGGCTGTCAGTCTCTCTCCTGCTCGGAGCTGGGAGCCAGCAGTAGCTCCCCTTCAGGGAAGCTGGGGAAAGCAAGGGGAGGAGGGAATCTTCCCAGCTCTTGCCTGAACCAGTTGATGCGTGAGAAATCTCAGCCCTGGAAGTAGTGTGTCCCTTTGTGGAAGACGACAGGCTGGCTAAGGGACGAGGGTGTTCTTGGTCACAGGCCTGGCATTGTGGGGCACTGTGGGGTAATGACAGGCTTCCCCACCCTACACCTCCTCTTCCCTGAGAAGCAAACACCTTTGCCGAGTCCTAGAAGCCGAGCAATGCCCTCTGTCCCCTTGTGTCATGTTCTTCCACCTCAATCTCCTCTCCTTCCCTAAAATCTGCCAGTAGAGGGGGATAAACTGGCTACAGTTTGGCCGTTAGCCCTAACCGTAGCAATAATTCCCTAGATGACCTTGGGGAGGCTACGTCCAGAGTGAGGCCTTGGTTTTCTTCCTTATGCAATTAAGATGGATAATTCTGGCTCCTGTCTTACCCCAAAGGGATGTGGCGGGATTGATTAATCAGACCGGGGAGAAAGGAGTCTGAAGTGATTCTGTGTCTGAAAAATAAGGGCGACAGCATTGCATTTACGCTTGGGTTGGTGAGCTGCCATCATTTCTTCTTCAGGCATATGTCTGTTCGGGTGTGTGAGTGTGTATGTTAGATGTGTGTGTCCGTGCGTAGGATGTCCGGGTATGTGTGTGTGTTGGGGGGTGTGTATATGAATGTGTGAGTGTGGTGTGTGTGTGTGCATACATTCATGGAGAGAGTGGTTTGCCCCACAGCTCACTGTTTGTTCACACTTGTCATTCTTCTGCTTCATGGCCTCCCCACCCCCACCCCTTTTGTTCTCCTGGATAGGAAGGCTCTGGGCTCCCTGTTGGGTCTTGTAGACTTGATTTCAGAATCCCTTTAGCTTCCTCAGGAGATGCCTAAAAGGCAGGTATTGGTGAGGAAAATAAAGCTAAAAGAAAGTGTCATTTTCCAAAGGCCCGAGACCTTCAGGACCTAGCCTTGCACCTCTAGCCTCTTGTCCCCCTGTCTCCCTGACCCTGCCCTCACCCTCTAGTTACATTGTAAGGTTCCTAAATTTTGCCATGTTCGTTCTCCCCTTCAGAACTCTGTACCTGCTCTTTATCCCCTTTGTTTGGACTTGTCCTTGCCTCTATCCCTTCACAGAATGCTTCTAAGCTCCCTTTAGGAACCAGCTTACGCTTCCCTTCCCCTGACATCCAGCCCCTGCCACAAGTCCCCCACCATTCCTCATTCTTTCCTAGTGGTGGTACACATCATACCTTACTGTAATTGCCTATTTAATTGGGTGTCTTGCTGCCAGAGTATAAACTCCATAAGGACAGGGCACTTCTGCCTAGCACAATGCCTGCCCTCGAGTTGGGCTTTGATACATATTTGAATTAATCATAAATGAATGGAAACATTACAAATGACAGGGGAGGGAGAACACAGTGTTCCTGATGCCCATGTGCATTGCATAGAGAACACATGTGGCTCTACCGTGTGTGAGATGCCCTCACCACCCCCACCACACTGATGGCCTTGATGGGACCACAGGCTCATCTGGGCTCCTTGGTCGGACTTGGGATTCCACTGAAGACCTTGTCCACGTGCCTAGTTGCACTGAGAGAAGGCAAAACCAAGAGTTCGGCTTTCTAAGTATTTGCCTCTAGGAAAGCACTGGGAGGGATGTTGGGCAGCCTCTGAGAGGAGTCTACTTTCTCCAGCACAGCTGCTGGGGCTGGTGGCCTTAGGCACATCTCACATTTGTCTCTCTCCCCACTGATCCATGTTTGAGTGGGACTCAGCCAACCTCCAGCTTCTCACCTTTCCTTCCTGTCCCCACTTCCCTTCCAGATTTGGTCCTGGCCCCAGTCCAAAGAGTGGAGCTGCTCTCCTGCCTCCCAGCCCCTCTCTATCCTCCACCCTACCCAGCCCCTGGCTCCCAGAAGAGCCACCCCTCTCCCAGCTCCAGAGCTCCAGCTCCCACAGCTGCCAGTGGCAGCAGGTTTGGAGGAAGCAGGCTTGCTGCAACTGACGTCTCCACCTGCTGGCCATCCTGACCCTTTCTGCATGCAGCTCTCCATCCCCGCCGCCACTGTCGCCGTTCCTGTGGCGGCTGCTGCTGCTGCTGCTGCAATATTTTATGATCCAGAGACCTCGGGTGGGAAGCATGGCCCAGCAGCTGGCATGGTGTGCCGCTCCTGCAAGGACCCACCCCTGTTGGAAGCTCCGAATAAGTTTCCCCTGAGAAAAAGTCCAAGGGGGGAAGCTAACCCTCTGACTGTGTTGCTGTCCCCCCTAGGGACCCTTCCATGAAGACTGAGGCAGGCGATACTGCTGAGAGCCTGCTAACATGACATCGGCCACGGAGTTTGAAAACGTGGGCAACCAGCCACCATACAGCCGGATCAATGCCCGCTGGGATGCCCCGGACGATGAGCTGGATAATGACAACAGCTCAGCCAGGCTCTTTGAGAGGTCCCGGATCAAGGCCTTGGCAGGTACCATTTGGGGCCGTGGGGGTTAGAGGAGCGGGTCTCACAATCCCAAGGGTCAGTCCTCTGTGTGCACTGGCAGGGAGGTGATGGAGATATGCTTGTGTGGCTCAGAAAGACCTGGCCCTGTTGGGAGGGAGCACAGGCTCAGGCAGCCTCTGCTCACATGCATCCCTCACTTCATCCCAGGTGGGAAGCGAGAAAAAGATCCCAGGTGGCCTATCTTGGCAGCAAGATAGGCCTTACCCTCTGTCTCTATCCTGAATGACCTGTGGTCAAAGTCAGAACTAAGAGGAAGTCTGGGTGAAGGAGTGTCGGAGGGGCTAGATGGCCAGGCAGAGGCACATGGGGCTTCATTATGCACCTCAGTCTCCTGCCTGGTCCTGGCTAGGGAAATTATCATCATCTTTTCTGTGGTCTCAAAAGAAAAGAGTGATTTGATAGGAAATTGAGAACAGATAACATCCTCCCCACACTGGCTCAGGAAGCAGGATTTTCTCTACTAAACCTCTTATCCTTAAACTGGAATTAGGTTTTTTCTTAGCAGGTTCATAATAGATTTCTGTGTGTGTGTGTGTGTGTGAGAGAGAGAAAGAGAGAGAGACAGAGAGACAGAGAGAGACAGAGCATTTAAGTTTCCAGTAGAAATGGTTTCTCCTCCACCCTGTTAGCTGAGATCTATTCTTGGGATTTTTCTCCCCCACCAACCCCTGTGACCATTGCCTCCCTGAATCCTGACCCAGGCTAGCTATGGTCTGGCGTTAAGTCCTTGACCAACAAAGACAGTTTGAATTCTGTGGCATAGTGTGTGGGTAGAAGAGGTAGAGGTAGATTCCATCACCTGCTCCACCAGTCATTTACCCAAATCAGATTTGTTTCCCTATCATCAATTATCCCCATCTTCACCTTATAAAAGGACCTAACCTCTCCCATAAGCACCTTCTAGAGCAGTTCTCCTGGTGCCCCATTGCTCAATAGTCCTATCCGAAGCTCCTGGTAGTACTATTCTACCTTTTCTCCCTCTACCCTGCTCCCAGGTGCCTCTGTCTCCAGCTGACCTTGAGTCATGAGCAGGGCCCTAGGGCCCCTCTGGGACCATAATGGCCTTTCACCTTAGGAGTGTCTGGGCCTCCTATTCTGTGAAAGAAATGGGGGTGTTTCAGTCCCTTGTCATGATGGAGAATCCATTCAGGTCTCAGCCATCAGCTTTTGTGTCCTGGTTATTTATAAGAAAATCCCTTTCTTCTCCCTTCACCCCCTTCTCCCCATTCCCTACCCTTAAAAAGTCCTTCCTTGATTTCCCTTGAGGAAACAGCACCAGTCCCTTGCTTTGCTTATGTAATCTTTACCTCTTGAAATAAGCAAACTAGGAACCATTGTCTCTGCCAGTCTGGTTTTGTCTTCTTCCTATCTCTGTGCCGGCTGAGCCTGGCTGTGGTGATCCTGGTGATCAAGGTGTGTGGGGGGGGAACCATGCTCCATAAGTCTTGTCAAAGGATACTGTGTGGAGTGGTACTGTCTTTCGTGCAGGGATCCTTTCACATGTCTCACAGATACCTCATTTTTTAAGACACCAAGGTCAATTCCATTTTAACTGGTATCTATTGTACTCCTACTATGTGTAAAGTTAAAACCCCCAACCGGACATGAAAATGGTGAGAAGAAACCACAGAGATGAATTCAACATAGTATCTGTCTCTAAGGAGTTTATGATCTATTAGGGAAAATGAACAATGTTCATAATTAATTAGCACAAGTAGAATTAGAGAAGAACTGTAAAGAAGTCACATAATTAAACGGCACAGAAGAGCAAAGGAGGAGGCGCAGGGAGAATCAGGGACTCATTTGTGGAGAAGGCCCCAGAAGCGAAGGGTGTGTGACACCCTGACACACAGGTGGGGCACAGCTCCATCTGGTCGGACTGTATGAATGGCAGCCAGGTCTGATGAACAGGTTGAGGAACTGGTGGTTGATCAGGTTGATGAGGAAAGAGCCTCTACGCACCTTGCCTATATCTTACCAAGAGTTTGCTGCTCATCTACTGGAGAATCTGTAGTGTCCTCCGGGGATGGGGTGGGGGTGGGGGACCACAGAGTGTAGAATTGCATGCCTGGACATCAATGATTTAGAATATCTGGCTAGCAGATAACCAGGGAAGTTTGGGGTCCATTCAGGATTTTAAAAACAAACCTAAGCAGTCTATTGACTTTCCTGAGAGTCCATCCTGAGTGACCTGTGGGAGAAGCCAAAGCTTTGGGAGGGTCCAAAGTAGAGAGGTCGGATGGACCCCTTCTGGTGGGTAGGCAGAGCAGAGAAACATGCTGTCAGTTTCCCCCAGTTTTAAATTCTTGATATTTTTCTCTTCAGTATTATCTTTGGGGCTGCCTCGTCAGCCTAGGCAGGGGTCAGTGTTTCCACAGAGGCAAAGGAAGCAGAAGTGCCTCTCATTTCAGTCACTCCCCAACACCTAAGACCATTACGGCAAGGAAGGCGTTCAGTCCTGTTTTTCTTACAAGATGGTGGTCATCTGCTTTGTAGGTATATGTGCCAAGGTTGGAGAGATTGGTCTGGCCTTTTCTTTCCAAAATTGAAGGTCCTGAGGTGAGGAGAAAAATGTCACAAGACCCAGATGCGAGTCCTGATTCCACCTCTAATGCTACTGCTGTGAAGGATAGTTGATTCAATTTCCTGTTTTATGAAATGCAGACAGTAGTACTTTCACAAGAGTGTTGTAAAGGTCAAGTGAGATAAAGTTTATGAAAGTTTTTTATTAGTAATGAAATACTAGGTGAATGTTAGTATTTATAGGAAATCTTAGTAATATCTTTCTGTCCTTTCTTTTAACTTCAGACATTCAGGATCGTTAGCTCAGTCATTGTCCCAATTATCTTGGCCTGTTCCTAGGCACTTTCTTCCTTCTTAAGCCCTCCCTCCTTTGTCTTAGAAGGCCTGGGTTCAAAGAAGGATCCAGGGACCAGGGAAACTCGGCTGATACTTCTGCTTGGAGCTCTTAGCTCAGTCCCCAGAGACCCAGTGCCCACAGGGATGAAGCCCCAGGCTTTGTAGATCTTTCTTTTTAAGGCTACCCAGCCAGGATCCCAGCCATGTCTCTGCCATCAGGTGAGTGACCTAGAAGGGCCAAGAAACCAAAGGACAATGAGGCTTGTTAGATGCTCTTCCTGGTGTGGCAGCCTCTCTGGGTCCTTCTCCACTTAGTGACCTGTGGTTAGAAGATTTGCAGTTGATTAACTGGACTCCATTTTTTTTCTTCCTCTTAAGTCAACTTCCTCTCAGTTCTCAAGGAAATACTCCGTATTCTGCCTGTCAAACCATTGCCAGATCTTCCTCCCTGGACTGAAATAAGCAAGCCATCCGTTATTCCGTGTGGAAACTGCCACATTGGTATACAAATACCTGACCTGTCCAAGTGAATCACTGGATTTAACACTGTGGATCAGCCTGAGTGAAAGCAAGGGGGAGGTGGGCAAGAAAATGTTGCAGAAGGCTGCTGCAAGGGGATGTATTTAGCCTCGGCTGTGACCCCTAATGGGGGTCCAGCAGGAATATTTGCCCAGTGGGTCCCTGGACAGATGTTAGCTCTCAGAATCAGCCTCTTAAAGGTGACAGCACTTTGTGGGGTTAAGTGCTGGGTAGCCCTGAAGCTTCTTCCTGAACAGGGGTTGTTCTCTACTTTGATGACCGCCTCTAGCACCTTTCTACTTTTTGAAAGATGAGAGGAAGGGGGGCAGTTGAAAAGCTCAAGTTCTAGCCCTCCAGGAGGTTCCAGCCTTCACGTCTCAGTAGAAAGGCTTCCAGTGTCTCCTAGAGCCACCCTCATTTTCATTCACACCCCATTTCCTGTCCTTCCCCCTTTTCATACTGGGAGCCATTCGGTAAACATTTGTGGCTGTCTGGATGAGGGATGAGGCACTGCAGGCTGCAGAGAATTTACCAGCCAGAAAGCCTGCCCTCCATGCTCTCTCCTCATCCCAGAGGAGGCCTCTGCTGGCCTGTGTGCCCCCCTTGCACCTGGCTACCCTACTGATGCAGGAGAGGACACTGCCTCAGGGCAATGTGGCCCAAGTGGGAGAGGGAGAGTGCAACAGAAAGGTATCCCCTAAAACAGAAACCTTGTGCATTAGTCTCCCCCTGCCTTGCCCACACACTCAGCTCGGCATCTGGGCCTCCCAGGTGCCACCCACTGCATGATTTCCAGCTCCTCAGAGCAAAGAGGCATCTGGAAGGTTGCAGTGCAGAAAGCAGTCCAGGGCCCCTTGAGAAGATCTGTGAGAAGGAAAGGGCCCCACATGCCACTTCATCCTCTACCCTGGCCCATTGAACACAGAACCATCCTTTGAAAACAAAGCACACAAATTTGAGTAGCCCATGCTGGTTTTGCCTTTAAATCAGAATCCAAGTGATGTTTCAAACTAAAGGTGCCTTTCCTTTCTGCATTCTGTCTTTGTAGCCATCTTGCTAGACAGGAGATGAGGTCAAGTAGTGAGGTTGCTTGAGGACAATTCAGAGAACACAACAGGGCAGCAGGTGCACAGCAGGCTGTGTCCCTGTGCTCTGAAGCACAGAGTTGCTGCCACTTTGAACTTTGAACATCTTCCAGACCCACTTTGCCCAAGCCCCAAGGTTAAGTTCTGTGACCGGCAGATGTTCCATCAGAGCCTCAGGACAGCGGCCCTCAGACCCTGCTGCTCCTTGTCCACCCACGTTGGCTCCCTGGAAACTTCCGAGAGAGAGTGTGGTATGAGCTCCTTCCTGACTTTGGCAGCAAAAGGTCATGCTTGGCCTTTCCCTGGGCCTCTTTCCCCACCTGCACCAGGATGACACTGATTCCAGGTGCGCCAGAGGTGCCCCAGTTACCTGAGAAGGGCTTTGTGTCCAGAGGGTGAGTGATTTCTTTCAGAGAGCAGGATTCCACCATAGTGTGTGTGTCGGGGTGGGGGTGGGCACAGACGCCGGGATTCAGCAGCTTCTTGGCAGCCTATTAAGTC